GAGAAAATAAAGGCCGGGTACTCTCCAAACAGAGGATTGGCATTTATCGCCGTCGGTCATCGCGTCGTTCACCGTCAAGTGATTTTGTGTGACCCAGTAGCACAGCCTACGCAGTACCAGCAGAGCTGCTCCGATATCGATTTGCGCCGAAGCAAGCGAGCTTCTACAAGAAATCTGCGCGACCTTCTCGGGTTTCCCACCAGTAGTATGGGGTAGTCAGTTTGGTTCATCTTTTAGGTCACAACTAGATGCAATATAAAGTTCTGCGGGGGATACGATCAACCTAAACACCAACGCCATCGTCGAGAGGCCAGTTATGAACGGCTTCTCGACAGAACCATTGCCTACAATAGGCTGACCAGTGTTGTACAGCTCCTACCCGAAAGTGAAGGGCTGCGTCATCTCTTCTAACCCGTCGTTAAAGAGCTGGTGGACCGATACCCTCAGTTTGCTAACGCGGGCATGGGTTTCCACCGTAACTACCAGAATCTGCTATTGTTTTGCGATCTGAAGAAGAAATAAGATGTTTATCAAAATTGCTGGATTATTATTTATGGTGCATAACTATAAGGCCACACGAGTAATCTGCTGTTATCGGTATACGTCCTGTGCAAGTTGATTCGATCTCAAGAAGGAATCACAGGTATTTTCAAAGTATTTTTTTCAGGATGTCGAGAAAATAATAATTTCATAACTTCTGTGATTCTGGGCAGTCAAGAATGTAAGTTTGGTAAAAAAAAATGCGATTATTGTACTCCTGAGCTCAAATACAGTAAGCAGTAGTTTTTAAAAGGTGAACATTTTGAAAAACTAGACAGAAACACAGCGTACATGTTTCTCGCCAACTAATACACATAGCCACTCTTTTCTCAGAAAGGTACGATTTGAAACGCCTCGCAAACAGTCATTATTGGATAACTATGAATTCAAAAGAATCATGTCTTGCGGGATACAAAAAGGAGTTGTGAATGCCTAAACTTATCATTTCGGATCATAAATGCAACATTAAATAAAAGGGCAATTCAAATGGATCTTAGCTCCATATAAAGGCTTAAAAAAGGTGAGTCTAGAAGTTATAGGCAAGTTCGTTCAATATTACGGCACTTGTATTGGCTAGAAGCGAGCACATTAACTGCATAATAATAGTATTAAATTGAATGTGGTTTGAGCCAAGCAAAACTCTAAATTCGATCCCTGGTCGCTAGTCTCTCCCTTTTTTGTGTCGGGTATCCAGGCTGGTTTATATTTGATTGCAGGTTCGGGATAGAGCACCCAGTATATTCGTAAGCTAGACTGTCAATTAGGGACCGTAATAACAAACTTGTGTCTCGGGCTTGTAACGTTTGCTCTACCAAGGCCTCACGGGTATCGCTGAAAAGCTGGCGCTTCGATCAGTTTACAGTGTCATAGTGTAATTGCACATCCAGTAGAAGTAAATACAGTAAAGCGATTAAAAAAGCACATCAGCAAAGGTGTTGCCTGGAAATTGCAGAATGTGTTGCTTCATCCGGTTGATGGCACACATTAATTGATGTGATTGCCCTGCGCTCTCTGGGTTTGGCATTGCGACTAGCCCTTCGAGTCTAGACGAACAGTGCTGAACTCCACTTTTGCTCACGATTTTACTGCACCACTTAACCTGACGCAGAAAAAATGGTTATTTCCAGGATAAAGCTTCAGCCTGAAGCTCCAACAAGCAACATGAGTGCGTTTCAACACCTCCAACAGGTTCATACGACCCGCAGCATATCCGAGGATATCATCGAGCCAAGTCAAAGCTACGTGGTATAGCATAGGGCGAAACCCTTCCTTGACAACGTTCTGGCAGTACGCCACTGCGTCCGTTCCACTAATCACTACTCGGGTATGCGTAATGGCGCCCTGATGCGTCGTGATAGAAACGTCTCTTCGCACGAAATGGGGAGAGGTAACTTCCAATATCCACGAAACCAGTCCAACGTAACGTAGCAGGATAATTCCTCCAAAAGCCCCATGGTAGTCTCCAGGATAGGCATTGGCCAATGGATTGGTTCTGTTCTCTCATTTACAACCCTGATATCACGACGGCAAACGCGCAGAGGTTCCAAAAAAA